GGGAAAGAGGGGTTAGTGTTCCCAGGGACTTACTCCTAATATTGCATCATCCCTGGGAAGCTGAATAGACTTGGTAGACTCTCCAGTCCACTCCACTAGTATGTGATGTAAATAATCTCAGGTGAATTACCACGCTATGGAGACCCTCCTTCCCAAGAAGAACCCCCACAACAGATAATGTAAACTCTGGGCCCTCGTAGCCGTCCTTCCTGCTTCAAGCTCACTTTTCTTCTGGTCTGGTCCAATGATTTATCACTTTCACCAGGATGAAAACCTGCTTTCTGCATTTCAAGTCATCAGCAGTATTTAAGTCCTGAGTTAAATCAGTAATAAGTTTACCCTGCAAATTAAATCTTTCTCATCTACGGTTTATGAGACACTGTCAATCTTGCCAGCATATACAGGAAGAATAAAGAGGAAAGAAATTGCTATCAGGGTTGTTGCCTTCCACCTTAGCATTTACAAAATTACATGAATGCTTGTGAAATAACTGGATTAACAGGAGAAGAGGTAGAGGACGAGCTTTAAAGTCTAACTGTTGCAGTAGTATAGGATGCAGAGTAGCCTTAACTCTAAAGCCAGTTTTGCCCTTCTTCAATATCCAGAGATTTAAAAACATTAAATCAAACTAAATCAGTTTCCTGCTCTCAATCTTGGCATGAAACTGCTATCTAGAGGGAAGCGGAATAAAAACATAGCACTTGTAAGGCTGAACAGCCCTGAAATGTCAGAGGAACCAGAGCAGCAGCAGTAGGCAGCCAGGACAGGTGAGTGAACTTGGGGCAGATGCAGGTTGTCTGCTCAACACAAGCTGAAAAGGAAATAGACCAAGTGCCAGACCAAGGAACTTTGGTAGAGCCACCTGGGAAAGACTGCAGATGGAAAATAAGGCATGAGAAAACACACAGGCAAGGGGGTTCTGTCTTCATACAGACGTGTGTCGTGCTACAGAGCAAAGCATTTAGTTGGGCCAGCCTTCAGTGGGCACTCTCCTTTCATGCTAACCTGTTCCTAATAGATAACTTTCCATTTAAACGAAAGCAGTAGGTAGGTCTGTATCACCTTTTGCACTGGTTGAATAAGGGTATTATTTCTCACAGTCAGTTGCAGGCAGGTCCGATTGCATGTTGCCTGATGTGACCCAATGCACGCGCCGTAAAATTACATTTGCATGGTGGACTGCAAAGATAATGCAGCTCAACGTGTGGACGTGAGTCAATTCACAATGGCAACAAGACCTCTATGCCCACCTGCTTTATTTTATTTTTCTCACAAAACCCCAATGTTAAATGATCAATATAGCATCCAACTTTTCTCATCCAACATTTCTCAGCTAGAGAATTCCTATGTGCCTAGATTTCTTCCAAAGCCAAATTTCCCCTGAATCCCCTGTGGCCTTTTCTGAGTGACTGAGTATTTACGCTTTCTTAGAATAAGGAATCACAGTCGTGTTACAAGGAATACCTCCATCCTCATTCGTTACAGCCATGTTTCAACAAGTTTGCTGGTTTTTCTTCCTTGGTCCATTTTTTTCTTGCCTTTCCTCCTCTCATGTTGATGCTGCTCATTAAAGACAGCAGCTGTGAGAATTATCTCCCACTAGTAACCCAGTTTTGAACTGTGTGTTCCTTTTTAATTTACAACCTGAGTTAAAGCTTCCAGCTGTCGTTGTTCAAAGCAATTTTTTAGCCTAAGAATATTACCATGTATGAGTCTATCTGTATTTTTGTATATGACCACATACCTTTCACCTCTATGACTGTATGTGGCCTTATGCTTTTCACTTACACTGTTGTACAGGGCTATATATCATAAATACAGAAAGCATACTTGTAGGGTATATCCATAATATACACCTTGCTGCTAGTACTTTTATTCACTCACATCAATGCTCTTAACATTCAGGATTGCTGAAAATGAGGGAGATGCTTGTCTTTAATGGTTGGAAATTGTCAGGGTAAAATCAAGAACATCACATCCTCCATCTTACTGAAAGTGAGGGAACCAGAAGAGTATTTCTCCATTGCTGTGCAGTTTAAGATGTTTGTTACACCCATACAAAATGATTGATTCCATTAAAACTCTTGGCTTGGGCCCCCTTTGGTGCATCTGCCACACTCAGTTTTCACACAGGCAAGTGACAGCAAAAGGTGCACTGCAGCACAGTGTGGAAATCAAGTCCTCCAGTTTCAGACAACACAGGAATGGAAATACATGACAAAGGGATACGGAACAGCCCTAACCTCCTAGCCAGAACTACCTCCTAGCAAAACCAAATAAATAATGCAGTTTCTCAAGGGAGGTTGGTGTTTGTGTCAGGAAGGTGCCAGCTTTGCAGAATATAAGCACCTCAGGCCAAGCCACCATAGGCCATAAATTTAGCATCGTAGGACATAAATCCAGAAGCTGGTTTAAGCAGCTCCGTCCACCTACAGCTGCTCATTCCCCTCTCTCCCTCCCCCTTACATCTGTCAAGGAGTGAATCCCAAATCTAGGAACAGAGAAAGCCTGAAAAATAACCCAGGGGAAGAAAAAAATAAAATAAATCAAGGAGATGCTTATTCAGCTAGATCAGCTCTCCAGCCTGATTCACTGCACAGCTGCACAAGCGCTTGCAGGGGGAGGGAAGGGCCAGGAGGGGGCATTTTTGGTCAACTTAAATGCACACTCAATGCTTTGGCCTCAGGATCTGGTTCCACATCTCTTCTATGAAAGGCACCATCAGCTTATGAAATTCCACCCCCCCACCCCCCCTTATTTAAGGGTTATTTTTAGCTCAGTCAGGATGACAGTCAGACCCCGCAAACAAGGGCGCTGACACAACCAAAGGAATGGAAGCAGTGGCAGGAACTCCCTAAGGCAGTGCTGCCGCAGGAAAAAAGATGAAATTGTACCCTTAAATAAGGAAACAAGAGAGATGTGAGTTCAAAGAGCTCTCCAGGGCAAGCATACTGGCAATCCATCCAGCTCAGGCTTTGAGGTTCTCTGTAGGTGAGGGAAAGCAAGCGAAGCAAGAAGGCCTCTTCTGCAAGGCTGCGCCAGGGAGATGCCATGAAAACAGGATGGATCCGTCATCACAGCATTAGGGGAATACTTCAATACTTTCTTAATTGTGCTGTTGTGAAAATCCAGGAGGCAAGATGACCAGAGTTCACCATGTCCAATAACTGTTCGTTGGAGCCCCTCTGAGTGACAACTGAGGTTAGTTTTGCTCCTTTGGATTCTCCTCATTAATGCCTTTTCCCCCATTCTCACACAACAGCTTAACTCTTTCCTCCCGAAGGGATTTTCAGGCTAGTTAGTGCTTACAAACAGATTGAAGTAAAATAAGCAAGCAAGAAATAGGAGTCTGATGTTACTGAAGGCACACCAATACTGCACAGCAGCCTGGTGGGGTGGGGTACCCCAGGCTCCAAGAGGCCACTGGAGACTGGTGTTTTCAAGTCCAGGCAGCAAAGGGAGAAGTTCCCCTCTTTGTCACTGTGGCAAGGAAATTTAAAACTCTGGGATTAAATCCCAGTTTGCCATAGGAACCCCCTCCACCCTGAGCAGATGAGAATAATTTCCACCAAGGCGCTAGAGCTACAAGGAAGAGTCAAAAAGCAATACAACCTATTGCTGAAATATGAAAAAAACCCCAACTCTCTACTCTTTCACCAAATCGGTTTGATCCTGAAGCAGCAATAACATAGCAGTAGAAATACTGCTACTGTGGAAACCTCAGCTAATGTTTGTAACTTTCAATGGGCAGCCTCTTAGTATCTGAAATACACCTCTAAGACGAGATCTTTAAATATTAGCTATTACGACATTGTTTTTCTGGATTAGGCATATACCCACTTCATACAATTTTAAAATTATGCCCCTTGTCTTTCTGAAGGAGAGACCAATAATGCACTTGAGAGCCCACAGTCTCAACCACAGTCTGGTGCCAATTAAACTCACTTGCTGTCCTGCTGGGAGCAGCCAGAGAAGGTCTAAATTGCTCACCTGACCATAACTCCAGCTTCTTATTCTTATGTCGTTGATGTTTCCATGGAAAACAATACCAACATCATTCAGGACGTATTCTTCCCTTTCCTTCTCATCATCCAGATACACAGCATCCTCTGCATCAGTTTACCAAAAATAAATGTTAACACAGTCATTTAAGTTTTTATTTAGGACAGACAAAAATTCTTAGCATATAATACAGTCACCTTTGATGAAAAGTACCCCTCTTCCACCAAACAAAGCATTACTTGCTTCAGCAGGGTACAAGAAAAAGGAGGTAGTGACTCCAGTTAGGACTATGATACACAACTTAAAAGCATGCAAGATGCAAAAATGCTGACAACTCCTGCCTGTTTTCTCAGGATCTGTAAAGTATGATTAAAATGTCACATCTTATCAAGAATTTTATGATGACTGTGTACCGCTAATTTAAAAGTTGGAGCACCATGACGCAATTCTGCATCCGTACAAACAGATCAAAGAACAATTTCAAACCTATTAATGTTAATGGAATACATCTCAAGTCAAGAGATCTAAAGAAAAATCTGTAGTGCATTAAAAAAATCGGAATACAATTTTCATAGTGTATTAACAGCATGGTTTGATTGTTTTTTCCGTACTAAGTTATTGACTGGACTGTCCCTCCCCCATGTAGCTTGACTGACCAGCTGCTATGAGGACAAATTCAAGCGTCCAAGTGAAAACTGGAAGAAATTGGAAGAGATTTTTATCAAACCATATACAAAGGGTATATTTATAAATAACCCTGAATGACTTGAAACTATCCAGATGTTCACAGGTAAGGATGATGCAGGTCATGATACTGTGATGCTAGAACAGCTGAGGATTTCTTTTCTGTGCCAACGTTTGTATTTTGAGACTAAGAGATACAGCTTAACAATTAATAGTGTGGGAATTAATTAATTTGAGGAAATCAGTAATGTGGTACCAGATAGCAAATTAAAGGGGAGCAATAACATCTTATAGCTTGATACAGGCAAGTACAAAACTACCACTCACTACTGCTGTAGTGGATTTCTTCAGCATCCCACTACAAATTACTGGTGGATCATTTCACTTTTAAAAGTCTATTGATTTGTTGTATTTTGTTGAAATGCAAATCAGATTTGCATTTCCTTGTAAACCTCATCCTCAAAAGCTTCTTCATTTGCCCATAAAACTGCAATTTGGCTGAAAATAAGCTAAAATCTGAGCCCTCTGAAAAAAACAATGGCAAAACTCGCACCAGCTTCAGCTAGGTGAAGTGTTTTGCCAGTCTACACACCTGACCCTGCTGGAAGTTTTGTTTCCTCTGAAGATATATTTATATCTCTGTGTCTATACATACAGAAGGATTATGCATAGACAGTAACCTAATGACCTCCACATTGGTGTGCAAGGAATGACAGGGAAGCGGGTGTTAGATGTAATAAACCTATATTGCATTTGAGGAGACCAGCGCTTGCCACTATGCTTTTGACAGGGTTGCTGTACAGGCTCTGCAGACTATGTCTGAATCCAAGCAAATAGAGAAGTGGCAGGTTTAATTGGGTTTTCCCTAAGGTGGTCAACTCAGAGTCCCACTCTTCCGTTTGGCAGGGTGGTGGTATTCACTTGGCTTCTAAGGGCTCGGTTGTCAAGAAGTGTCTTCCGAGGGTTATCACTACCCATGACCCAGTCAACCTGCACCCAGGCACAAAGCAGATTATGTGTTTACTATATTCAGAGGTTACCAGGTGAAAGAGAGCGTTAAAAATTGACAGTGACTCAAAAAGCTGTAGTCATTTATGCCAGCAGGGACTCTCATACTTATGAAACTGTGTATTACATGACTTTTTTGAGGTCCAAGTCCCAGCTCTAAACAAGTGCCGCATAACATCCTACCAAAAATGTTGCAGATGTTACAGACCATGTAGGCTGTTTCATTACGCTGGATCTGCCCAATTTGTTGACTGAACCACTATATGCATTCACACACTGAGCTTTGGATTGTATTAAAGCACATCTGTACAAACTGTAGAGAGAATGCATTTAAAGACGGAGAACTCACACCTTCTTTTGCACAGTTATGTATTCAGTGGAGTGTGTGCATATGCCTTCTTGACAGCTGTTGTTTTCTTTCAGGGATTAAAAATATCAATATTGATCTGGTTGGTATCAATTGAGATGCTTATGTTTTTTTTGAGACTGCGTGATCTTTGCTAAATCAGATGAAAATTGATTAACTTCTCTGTCAATTATTCTAAAATATTTGTGCTTTTTGATAAAGTAAAAAGGGCTTCTGTGTTTCACAGAGAAGCCAGCTGCTTTGATTTTTGACAGCTTTCACTACCCTTGAGACTGTTTAGAAGAAAATACGAGGCATTTGTGACTACTTTGATGCTAAGCGTGCTCTACATAGTACAACTCCTAATTATTTTGTGCAAGTGGAGGCTCATGTCTGACAAACAGAAGAATTCCACAGAAATGTGCTGGGTTTGTTTGCTCTTTTCTCTAGCAGTTTAGGGGTTCTTTTACTCACTTCTTTTATCCTGGGAAATTACTGAGACACTAGCAATGCTACAAAGAAGCAAATTAGCTTCTATGCCTCTTTGTTTGAAGATGGATAAGGTGAAAATACACTTCACATGAAGACAGCACTGCAGGTGAGGAATCCCACTGATTCCTCCCTGTAAAAGGGATGAGGAGTGCAGAAAAGCCCTTTCCATTTGGGAGGGTGAATGAGCATGAGAGGACCCTACCCAATATGGTGGGATCCCATCCCCAGCACAGCAACTGGCCGGAGTCGGAAATGCTATTTCTTCATGCAGACAGTGACCGCTGAGTACAGCAGCACCAGCAGACGAGGGAGGTGGAGGCGGCAGGCTTGCCCTGAGCATCCAGCCTTCCTTCAGAGCACTCCCTTGGGAATCTGGGAATGCGAGGCTGAGCTTTGCTGGAACCACAAAGCGCGCAGGGCTCTTGCTTGGAAGAGAACAGCGCTGTGGCAAACATGGAGCTGCAAGAGCTAAATCCACCTATTACAAAGCCCACTCCACCTAGGACCAAGCTCAGTGTGCTGCCCTGCAACTGCTAGTGCTTGCCTACATTAGCAGAGCAGAAGGATGAAGCTCTGTATGAATTTCACCCACATGGAATCTATGATACAAGAGACCAAAATTAACATTTAGCTACAAATGTCAGAAAATTGTTATTGGATGACTGACAACTGTCAGTCAACCACATATTACTAAGCCTCAAACTGTATTAGGACATTGGAGGCACATAAGCTGAAGAAATGTGCAATTGACCCAATAAAGTTGCAATATATATGATTGCTTGAAAATAATGCACCTCGCAGAAGGCTTGGGTGAATGAAACACACACCTCAGCTCAGAGAGTCTGCATCTTACTCAAATACACTATGAATCTTCACCTGCGAGAGAGCCACACAAGGCAATGCAAGATCTTTCCCTGATAAGCGCCGAATGTTCCCCAGCAGAAAGCTGCTGGGGCTCAGCACCTCCTTGGAAAGAGCTCACAAGATCCAGATCAAAGGAGCCCTTCTCTGCTTTTATGTAGTCTGATACTGCTAAGGGTTAAGAAAACTCCAAGAAGTTATCCTTAACTACTTGCCATTTGTATCTTCTGTTTCAGAACTGAAGAGGGCTCTGCATGCCCAAAAGCACATCTGTTTTTCCAACTATGTCAGCTGGCTGAAGAAAGGATGCTGCCACTCCTCACAGGCTTTACTTTGCTTATTAAGTAAAGCAAATTTCACCTGAGTGTCTGAAATCTCAATCCACTAGCTTGCTGAATTCCCAAATATTTGGGCCTGGTGCATATAATTTTTCAGGATCGGTCCCTACATCTGCATCTTTAAAGTATACTTGGTGATCAGCCTTAAATGTAGCTAAGGGGAATAAAACATATAAAAGTATCTGGTGATTTTGGAAGCTAAGTACTCTGTAGCTTGACTGGGAAAGTATTCAAACTTGTTCTGAAACAGCAGAAAAAAACCCACATCCCTGGCTAGGAAGATATGTCAAAACTGAACTACAGTGAGAAAAGGAGTAATAAGAAAGGGCACAAATGCCTCTGTCTTAAAGAAAAGCTTAGACCGACACATTGATGTTTCTCCAAAATGATGAGTTGGAAAGCTGCGCTAGACACTGACAGAGCCCGTACTCTGCTCCCTGCTATAACAATCCCCATTCATTCCTGGCATCAGCCTTCTCTCTTTTTAATGAGGCTTTTCACTCAGACTTTTCTGCTTAGCTATTAACCCAGCAAACAAGTCTAGGAGATTTTCAAACTATTGTTTTCTCTGCACTTTAACTGCCTGAGTTTTTATACCCTTTTGTCATTCCACTGAACAATCTTTTCCAGCCAGGGGATAAAGCGTGGAGAAACACACCCTGGTTTTCTAACACAAGGAAAGAGGAAAAAGGCAGATATAGGAGCCAATTAGCCCAAACTACCTAGGAGGAAGAGCAGGGGCAAGAAATGAGAATAAATCCAAATCCAAATGAAACATGCAGAAAACAAAAACTACAGTAGTCAGCAAGGGCCAGTACGTGAAGTCATTAAGACACACCTGAACATGTAAGCTGGAGACAAAAACGTGGTCTTCCAGGGGTGACCCCTGGGCCTGGGGGCACACAGCACATCCTTGCTGCCCGCAGACTCTCCTCTGCCTTCCTGAAGCAGAGCTTTGCCATCAGCTTTGCCAATGGCTGCTGCTGGAAGCAACTGCTTCATGTCTTCCTGCCTACAGGTTTGGTCCCACACTGTGGTTTTAATCTTGCTGGATTTTGGCCCCATTGAGCTCAGGTGTGAGGAAGGGAGTGCACAGGAGAGCAAAGCACCCGTGTGCCATGAACAGATGTGGACCAGTCATCACACAGAGCTGGTGGGGAAGGAGGTGAGAAGAAGGGATTGATTTTCCTCTTCCATTCCCTGACTAGCACCTTGAATCAGCTATGTGGTCCCAGTCACACCAGAGTGGGCCAGCCAAGCCCCACACATGATTTTTTTTCTCCGCATTACAGCTGCATATAGCTCTAGCTAGTTGTATGCTAGTCATGAGGCAACCTGAGGTAACTTAAGAAGCTTTTTCTTTGGGGTTTGTCCCTTTCAAGGAGGTGCTGAGCCACTGCATAGCCACTGTGCTGGCTGACAAACTGGCTGTTATGACACACATGACTAAAGCCAAGGGATGCTCTACCTCGGGGTGGAGAACCGCACCTCCCTAGCTAGAGCTGTGACAGGCTGATGATGCCATCACAAACCTTGAGCAGTTTTGTCTGCTCATAGTGGGTCATAACTTTGGCAACAATTCTTCTTTTTATGTTAAAAAAGAAACTGTCTTCTCTTCTGTCTTCTCCCTCATCTTCCAGAATAAAATCTTAGCATGCTGCTAAGAGGTATCTACCTCTACACTGCTTTCAGAGGTATCTCGTGGTGTCGCGGGGCCTTGGGTCCTGCCCTTCCCTCCTGTTCCCACTTAACTAACTCCGCTTTACTCAGCATTAACATATATCTTCCTAAATAATGCATAAGCTAATCATTGCTTATATTCCCTTGGACCGGGGGCAAGTAATGAATTCAGCACAAATCATTCGATGTACTGACAGTAGTGCAGCTGAATAATGGACTCTATTAATAACGCTAAACTTACTCGTCACTCAGTAGGATGGCCCTTGTTTGGTACAGGATTATTTGATGCAAATACTCTGGTTAAAACATTGAAACATGAAGGAAGGGTGGCAGGAGAATATTAAAGTTAGCTGGTGACCTAAATATATAGCAATGTGTATGCCAGACTTGGAGCCTTACAAGTGTTGGAGGTTGACACACAGTGCTACAGCCTGTCAGAAGGCTGAGCCAAACCTCTGCAGTCCTCCTTGCCCGCTCCTTAAAGCCACACTTGGAGTTCATTGGGTAAAATACAATTCTGTCAGTGTAAGGGCTGATTTCATCCAGGATCCAGAGAGATTAAAAAAAAAAAAAAAGAAATTGTTCTTCAACCCACTGGAGTATTAAAAAAGGCTCATTTGCAAAGCGTTCTGTTCCTCACAGAGGACAGGGTTGCTGGTAATTAGTCACTGCTAAAGGGGAAGTTATAAGGGCAAATATCGTGTAGCGGCGGGAAGGCACCACCAGCGATGCTGTAGCAGGTTGGCTGCATTTAACCTGCAGGCCTTCGGCTGCAGATGTTCGATCCTAAATGTGGCAACTGGCGATGTAACTCAACAGAGTATGGGATGCTGCCACATCCTGCCCCACACCAAATCCTGGAAAAAAACATGCCCATACTGACTTGTCCGTTTAAGGCACACAAAGGCAGGCAGGAGGCTCACACTGACGCCTGTTAAAGTCAGAGCAAAGTCTTGGGGTATATTTACTACAGGAAATGGAGCATCATCGTGCTGCCCGAGCTGGTGAACACAGGATTGGCCCCATAAAACTGCAGAGTGCAACTACACACAGGGCTATTCCCCAGCCTGAAACACTTGCCTTTTGGCAGAGTTACTATAAAATTTCCAGACCCAAACTGGCTTGTGTCCAGTCACCTGGGTACCAAACTCCCCTTTCTGGACCACCCCCTCCCAAAAAACAATGAGCCCAGGAGCAGAAAGCGTGGACCTCTGACTCTGATAAGGTACTTACGCTGGCACCAGGGATTGAACAGGATGTACGTGTCGGTTGCCGAATTTCTGTGTGTCCGGAGGATGCCAAAGGGAGTCCAGACAGCAACATACAGGCGAAACTTCCCAACGATGCAGGTGGCAGAGGACATGATGGACAGGCGAATGGAGTTGTTCTCCTTGTGGGTAATCTTGGCTCCCCACTCGCCAGGTTTCAGCACATCACCTACTAGGATCGGGATGTAGGTGCCTCTGTTTTGCTGTGGGTAGCGACCTGGAGAGAGAGGAGGGGATAACTCCATGAAGAGGTTCACTTTGTTTTGACAGTGTCTTTATTTCCTGGCTGTCCTCTATCCCTTTGTCTATTTTCAATGGAGGTGGAACATTTTAGTGGGAGGAAACTCCCTCATCACTTCACACAGTGCCTGGTCACTTGGCAGTACAGCCACACAAATACATGCAACACCTCCCAGCAGGCAGTCTGTGCAGACATCCTACCCATCTCACTCCAGCAAGCTTCAGTCTTGCTGGCTCAGAGTGTAGCCCTGGCAGTGTGAGCAGGGGCTGTCCCAGGATTTCCTTGCCCATCGCTGTTTATCCTTGCGCAGCAAGCTGTGTTCCAGCTTGCTCCTTGCCTTGGTGTCAGCTATGCTGTTGGTAAGTGTGGGTAAGAGACCCTTCCCCAGTTCAGATGCACCCACCATCCTTGCATCCTTGTTCCTAGTACCCAAGTGCTCACCGGGTCACAGACCTCGGTTTTGGGGCTCTTTTGCTGATCAAAGCCTCATTCTCCTCACTGCACTACTGTGCCGACAAGCAGAGACCAAGCGCTCTTTCACACAAGTCCACACAGATGGAGGAAATACAAGTCAGTCCACCAGCAGATACCCAACGCTCGGTCCCTCCTGAGTGTCTACTCCTCATGTATGGAGTGGAAGCCAACTCTGGACACCCAGAGTATAGGTAAGCACATCTGGGCTAACTTTCTCTGCAAGCAGTAAGTCCCAAAATATGACAAACCTCCAAAGCACCACACCTCACAGTAAAACAAATCACACCCCAGAGAAGCCTATTTTATTCTGCCAGCTATAAGAAGCATCTAGACAGATAGGCTACATGTAAACATGTATACTGCCAGGATTCAAAGTTGTGAGGATCTACCCTCTGAGCCTGAGGTAGAGCCAAACTATATCTGAAAGCCAACCAGCAGCACAGACAGAAAAGACACTTGTGAGAAAGCTGAGTTCCTTATCTCATTCTCAAGTCTATTCTTCATTTCATATTTTAGGCTGAAAGTCAGACTCTCTCATTCAAAAATAGGGTAATGAAAAGCAACGATAGCAGACAGAGAGACAGACTTCTATATTTTTCATTCCTACTATTTAAGAACTTAAAAATCAAACTCACAAGGGCATTGATTTTCCTGCTTGCTTATTTTTATAAGGCTGATGCAGACATTATCCCAGATCTGAACACTATACATTCTGGGAAAAGACAACTCCAGATTTAAATCTGAAGCTTGCGAGCTGCCACGATATCAGTCTTTCTAAGAAATCTGGGGCTGCTGTACTTCATCCAAGAGATTATTTGGTGCACGTGAATTTCCGTTTTGCAGATGTTCAGTGCACATAAATAGCCCACTTTGCCCTGTCAGCCAGGGATGCTGTAACCCATGAAACCCATTCAGATCAGTGCAGGGTGCAACAGAAGGAAAAGACGTACAGAAGAAAAGAAAGGACTAGAATAAGAGAGAAAAATCAATAGAATACACTAGAAGATAAAGCACTGGACACTTCAAATATAAGCCATCAAAGGAAAGCCAGTCGAGAGAGAAGAGCCTATAGAGGTAACAGAGATGACAGTCTTGTGCCTGCTAACAATTGTGATCTGAGAGCTGAACATGTTCTTGTTCTTTGTAGTGCATCTGGGCATGACCCAGCTTGCCTCTGCAGTTGATATTTTGCTTCTGGTTTTGACATAATTGTTTTTTTAAAAAAACAGTCCACGCAAACAAAGCAGCAGAGCAAACCAAGTAACTGAACTGACATCCTTGAAAACCATTAACAAGTGCTACTTTTTAAAATACCTCCCTGACCTCCTTCGGAAAGGTGGAAGGGGGGGAGGGATTACTATTTTAAGGTGGTTAGGAACTGACATTGTTATCTTTACTGGAAGCTGCATGTTGGTGTAGGAGCCTATTGGGGAAATAAGGACTTGTGTTGTGGCGGGGGCAGCTCATGCTGAAGAATCATTCCCCAGTAAATCTGCCCATAGGAACCAGATAAGATCTCAAAGAGGTCACGAGGCCTTTGCAAGACACCCTTATGGGGATGCACAGTCACTGGCACCTCATAGCAGGTTCAGCAAAGTACCAAGCGCCTGGTATTCTCACTTTTCTGAAACCTTGGCCTTCCAAACAAAGGTTATTCTTGCATGCAAAGCCACAAAACACCCTAATATACCTGTCGTTTGACAAGGGAGCTCCTGTAGCCTGTGCATGCCCCACGCAGCTGCTCCCATGCAGTAAGAGAGAGAGGCCACTGCACTATCTTGCCCACCCATGAGGAGAAGATGCTCTGGGGTATTGCCTGCATCCCTGCAGACACAGCAGGGATGCCAGGGAGGGGGTATCCTAGAAGTCAGGCTAATTTGCAGGTGTTATAAACAGTAAATACAAGAGAATATTGTTTGCTTCTGACAGACAAACAGGGTTTGTTGCTTGCTAACAGTTGTATAAATCCTGAACCCATGAGGAAGCCTGGGAAGATGGGCAGAGCCCTCAAAAGCACAGTGAGCGTTTTCCAATGTGTTCTTTGAAGAAAGGACAGGTTCCCTCATCTTCTGAAACAAAAACCAAAATGCAAATGGAAGAGCAAGGGAATTGTTACTTCTGACAGGAACTTGTGGAGCTGAATTGTAATCACACGTCTAGACACCTGACAGCACCAGCCACATTACTCTCATACACACACATCTGTTGTCTTCATACTAGAGCACTATATAGCTGAATAACTTTGGCGTTACCTGCTAAAGTTGCTGGCAAAAGAATCCTTACGTAGGTTCAGTACTATGTTTATCAACATTGTAGGGAAGTCCTCTCAGGATGGCTTGGCCATTTGACTTTTATCTACATCTTGAGCACACATTTCTGGCTGCGGTGGAAGCAGTAGGGCCAACTTTGGTGCATAGTTGGAACGTCTGTAATGTCAGCTGTTTCTCAGAAGGTATAATATGCAATGGTGATGTCATTCTCTGGGTTAGAGTCTCTAAGGAAGAAGATTCAATGTTATCCAAGGACTCATCACCAAAAGCCTGCAAACGCCTGGCAGACCACTCTCTGTAGGATATCTGGTGCTAACCCAACCCATGGAGAGGCAGGAGGATGTTTGGGTGCGTGTCAGGACCAGGAGCCTCGCAGAGAAGATAAACTCTTTTTATGCTGACAGGATGGTGCTTCTGCCAGCAGCATCAGCTGGCTCAGGATCCCTCCCGCTCCAATTTGCTCCAGGAGCTGGCAGCCTGAACCACGCTCCGCAGCCAGTTCTTTGTGGTTGCCTCACTCCCTGATGCTCATGTGTGCTTTGGGTGTAGGAGGCCCTGGCCCTCACTCGAGGACATTTTACAGCCAATTGCTCTGTGAAAGACAAAGTCGTAGCGTGACATCACGCTGTTGGGATGTCCCTATCCGCTCTCTCTAACAGCACACGGACATGGGAAAATCCAGCCTGAAAATTCGGAGAGCCTGGAGGTTGCTGCAGTTACCACCAAGCACACTGTGAATATTTTAATAGGCTCCTTTTACAGCTCAGAAGATATTAGGTGCTGAACGGGGGTTGCTGACTCTCTTGCCTTCGAGACAAGGAGAGAAATCAGTAGCCCTCTTCCATGGGCCTCCAACTTTCTGCATTTCAGTGCTAGGTATTAAGCCACAATACTGCCAGAAGACATTATTTTTATACAAACCTCCCTTTTACAGAATGTTTAATGGCCTAAAGGTATCTATTTCCCCTGCTTCACAGCGCACAGGCCTGCAACCTGTAGCTACCCAAGCTGGGCTCCTAAAGCTCCTGCTCACTTCTGTTGCAGCTCAGCTCTGCTCTACAGCTCCTGGGCTTTCCAGGCACCCAGGAAAAGAGGAGCAAAATAGCTGCTGTTGCTACTAAAGGAGCTCAGCTCTCCCTCAGTGCTGCATCACAAGGCACTGAAAGTAAGTAAACATGAGTGAAAGTCTACATGGCGAAACACATCATGACTGAAGCATATGTGGATGTGGGCACGTATGGGATGTCCCCCACCACGCACACACACACTTTACATGGGCAAAAAGCATAGCACAGTGTTTGTTAAAGCTTGACAAAGTCTTATTTATGCAGTAGCAAAAGGATGAGCCGTCTAAAACACAGAACTGTAGCCACACACACATGCACTCAAAGTGAGTTATTTTTAACATATGCCTCAGCTCCTTAGCATGTCAGCTCTGGGCCCGTCAGGCACAGAGGCAAGCTGTGTTTAATTCTGGGTAAAACTGCTGCACCAGAGAGGGCTTTACAGCAACAGAGGGAGAGCCAGAGATAGGTACAGCAAGTTCAGTCAGCAAAACACGAGCACTCCTCCTCCAGCTATCCCAGTCTGCTGCTGTTCCTTCCAAGTGACTAACAGGGACCAGAGCTTGCTCAAACCGCTCTCCTCCTCCTCCCCTGCCCAGTCCTTGGAAGACTCTATCTGCATCTAGTTTAGTTTTTCCCTTGATCCCCAAAGGATCAAGGGAAGGATATGTGCGTGCATTAAACAGCTCCCAAATGCCACTGCTGAGTGAGCACCATGCTGTTAGCAGAACCAGCAGAGAGACAAAGGGGTCTTCTTGGATAGGCCCTACACAAGTGAGTAGATGTTTTACTTTCAGCAGGGAGGAAGGCAAATTTGGTAGCACAGAGGTTTGAGACATAGTGAGCTTCAGAGGACATTTCCTGCTTGATGAAAGTGGAATACCTCAGAAGAGAGGGAGGTAAACAAAGCTATTTCTCAATAGTCTTTTTAGGAACCCTCTTTAGAAGATTGTTTTTTAAAGGAGTCAAGGAATCTGTCTCCCATTGCAACATAGATTACACACAGTAAGGTTAACAATTTTCCTGTTAGGTTCATTTGTTTTACCTAGATACACTCTTACATACAAAAGGTAAAGAATCTATTTCAATGCCAGACCTGGAAGTATAATAATTGTGACAGGCTGATAAATAAATTTGAGCTGGAAGCCACAAGTAGAGTAGCTGTGTA